GGAAAGCACCTTTCGAGATAAGTGGCTGTCAATTTGAAGAAGTCGACAGTTACAAATACTTGGGAGCGAGGTTGCCGCCGAATGGACAAAGTAAGGATGACATTGTCTCCCGAATTGACATAGCACGACGAGTGTTCTCCAGCCTTCGGAAGTGCTTATGGACCCAACGTGATATTTCTATCTAAACTAAGATCCACGTGTACCGTGCATCTGTGCGGTGCGCTCTCCTATACGGATGTGAATGTTGGGCTATGCGCGTGGAGGATGAACAGAAGCTGGAAGTGTTTGACCACTACTGTCTGATGAGCATCCTTCGAGTGAATTACACCGACTTCGTCTCAAATGAGACAGTCCGCACTCGCTGTGACAAAATCATAAGGATATCCCAGGCCATTCAGGAAAGACGGCTGAGGTGGTTTGGCCACGTTCTTCGTCGCCAACCTTAAGAGCTCAGTGCTACTGCCCTCGACTTGACCTTCGTCACCAACCTCAAGAGGTTAGTGCTACTGCCCTCGACTCCAATCCGTTGCCTAATTGGAAACGTCAAAGAGGGAGTCAACTCAAAACCTGGCTCGACATGGAAGTGACATGGAAGTGGTTCTTGGACCTTCGGTATTCGGTCTCCGGCGCTGGCGAAGAGAATGAGTCGAACTGTCCAGGTCTGCGGCCACTGATTGTCGCGCGTAAAGAAGCACCATACGGGACATAATTGAGGCTGGCTAGATCAGTCATGATCGCAGCCGTAACCAGTACAAGTAAGTTAGTAAGTACAAAATCCTTCATGGGATGGTTGATAAACTGTTGGGTCTTCATGTATAAAAAATACAGGATTATTCCTCTTTAATATACCTTCATATACATCACCACCCGGGGTGCTCATTCCGTGGGTGTTGTGAGAGATTTGCGGGGGCATGCCTAAGTAGGAAACAGTTTGGTTTGTCCTTGACAGTGACCCAGTTAGTACAATCTGTCTAATGGGACCGAGGTCCGGGAAAGGACTGTGCTAAGGACTGAAGTGGACTATTTTAATAATGGGTCAAAGTGTTCTCGGTTAATCCACACAATTTGTCTTAGATGTCTTATGACACCGTCCTGGTCGGTGGAAAAATTCCCTCCTCTAGCATCCACCTAAAGAACAGTGCGTCCATCCTGATTAGGGAACGTCTCGGTCAACTCCAACACTAGTCCATATTTCCCCACGTACAGGAAGTTGTCCTCTGCCATCCTGTTATTAATGTGCAAGTTAAGTCTGTAAAACTTTGTTGACTGGCCACCTTCAGTAGCAGCGATTTTGGCACCTTCTTTTACTGGAAAATGTTATTAAACCAGTCTGAGTTTGTTCATCCATTGTAAGGTGTGACAACAAGCTTCGTCGCACAGTCCCATCTAACCTCCGTTTTCTATTATCAGAACGAAGTCGCAGTATTCCTGACGTAGAAGAACTAACAATAATCCTCCTCACTATACTCATATCCGACTTCTTTGTGTGTATGTGTCTAGTCGTTGAGCCACGTCCACGAAATCTGGAACCCAGTGCCCGGCGAAAGTCGCAAAATCCCAGCGATGATTAATTGGCGCTCTATTTACTTATTCATGAAAAGTTACCCACAAATGCCATGGCTGTAATGGCCGTTCCTGACTTATTTGCCGCCATAGGCCGGCTACAAGCGGGCGTCTGAGTAATGAATCTGAGGTGGTCATAAGACATTTTTAGATCAAGCGTTCCACGCTCGCATAAAATGTCTGCGCTTGGTCAGTGACGATTGAGCATGCGAAACCTCGCAAATAACTGCGTTCACAAATTTATCCTTATTGCAGGACTGGCCCTTCGTATTTGTCCATAACATCGATTCGTGGTCTCTTCCCAATGCAACAGCCTGCAGCGACTCTAGATCAGGAGCTCGACGGCACAACACAAAGGACCGTTGCGTCCTTCCGTCCGGGTAGATAGGCGAACGCCATTCCTATGTGGCTGTGCTTTTCATTTGAAAGCACAGCGTACTTATGGGACTATGAGTGCACGCTTTCCAGAATGCGTACACGGCAGCTACTTCTGGCCAACAGTGCAGTACATTCTTAAAACACATTGCCTTTGACAGTAACTAAATCTAACATGGATAAAAAGGACGAGAAAACTTTTGCTTTTATCCTTTCAATTAAAAGTTTGAGTTGTCCACTTGGCAGGTTTACAGTGTTATTGGCTTGAGGTCCGAGCTTTCAAATGATAAGCCTCTCCTTTCCTTTGACATAACAGATCCTTTTTTCGGGAGTCACATGGAAATAAGCAGTTTTTTGTAAAATGAAGCACCCTTATAAATGCGCCGTAGATGTTTGTTCCTGCGCACAAACTGTGCCAAAACCGATTTCGACATAAACAGCGCCGATTGCTCATAAATCAATGGATTTGCTGTAAATTCTGGGAGGAAAAAGAGTGCAAGCATAGTATAAAAGAAACTGGTGAATCATCTTACTGGGGATGCAGAGGAAATTAATGAATGCGGCAATGCGCCCGACGTTACTCCACAACAAATTAACTGTAAAGTACTAAAGCTAGAAAATAAGCCTTGCTAAATCGGGAAGTTTTCCACAACGGAGATGGAAGCAAATGGAGCACTTACGAGCAGGCAGACGCTGGTCCAAATTGTTAAGGGTCTGTCTGTTTGTTAAAGCGTTTAAGTGCTCTTTATTATCGAAGCAGCACCGAAGTCCGGGAAACTGGAAACAGTCACTAAAAATACTTAAGTGTATCACTCCAGTATGCTTAGAAGTCCAGGTTTTGATGGACGTGTAACTGGAAGACAGTACATTTTCTATGAATTTTTGGCGCATAACATCATGATTGATGCCTAAAAATTTAAAGGCAAAGACTGATCTCCTCTAGCGCAGACACGGTTATTGTGAGCAGCATAAACTGCCTAGAAATAACTATACAAGGACTCACAATATCTTTTATACTGTCCAGTTTGGTCCGTGTAGGCTTCGCCTTGGTTATCATGGTCTTGAAGTTGCGTCCAAATGCACGTCTCTGGCGTTCACGCATCTTTTTCCAGGCAGTCCGCGCTTTAGCTAACTCAAACTTCGCCTGACTGGAGGTGGGCGTAAGTTCGAGAACCTTCTCAAAAAGAGTGATGGCTTCTGAGAAGTCTGCAAGTCCAACGAGAGCCTGTGACAGAGAAAATGCAGTTTTTAAGCAGGTTCTGATGACATAATGCTCTCGATAACCTTATCTGCGTTGCCGTACAAATAAAATGCAGAGGTCACAGCGCTGCTGATCACCCGGTGACCGAGTAACTGCTGGCTGAACAAGTATCTGATCGGTGTACGCCTATCTACTAAAGTATAACAAATGTCTACCTATACGAAAGTTTGGCCCAAAAGCCTCTCCGAACTATGGAAAGGTGTCCCTGTGTTTGTCAACTTCTGCCTGGTCTCCCTCCTTCCTTGTTATATGTCAGACCAAACCTGGCTGAATTGGTTGACTTTACCCATTCCTCGGGCTGTAATGAATCAGCTAAGCCCTTTAATAACTATCGTCCGTGTGCGACAGACTTTAGACGGAAACTTCAATTGTGATAGATGGGCGGTCACTGATCAAGTTATGGAGCGTATTCGTTCTGTTGCGTCTTGGGGCTTAAACTGGAACCCTCGTAAGCGGTCGAATAGCTACTAGCAGTATAGGCACATCAAGTGTACCGACAAAGACTGTGGAGGCCGAAATAGCCAGTTCCTGCTTGTTAACCCTCATTAGCCAGTTATACCGAACTCCGGGTGTGGAGGTACTGAGATTTGAAGATGGGATCCTTGGTCTAATACTCTATCATGCCATTTCAGTCAGCATATCCGCTCCTATTTCCATTCAGCTTGAATCAGATAGGCCAGTGGTGCAGCAGAGAGGAAGTAGTGAGGTCGAAAGTGGGGACTACGAGGAGTATAACTGGGGGGAGGCGGTGGCACTTGATGAGGTAACTCAGTCCTTTACTGGAACGAGGGTCAGATCACAACGGTTCCTTCCTAAGGCATCTTCTAGGTTGGGAACCAAACCACGCCCAGGCGGGCCGTTTAGCTGTCAGTCACTGGGGTCAAGTTTTCTTCGAATCGTCTTAGCAGTGGGTAACGAAAGGGTGATGTATATGTATTTCAGATCCGTTTCACTATAAACAAATCCACAAAAAGCAATTTGCAGAAGAACTAACCTTTCCTTTCCGGAAAAGTGCCTTTGAATTGGTCGGGTCTAATTGAAGGACTGCATCGGAGGTTTTGGCGGCCGCTTCATAGGCTTCGAGCTAAAACAAAAAGACGGTTGAGGGAGAAACGAATCCAAGTCTTACTGGAACAAGTTATGGATAATTAAATATATCAAAGCAAACGAAAGTGTGCATCGGTACAGGTAACCGGCAAAGTTGTGGCAGACAGCAGCAGTATGGGTCTTCAAATCAGATCATTTCATGAGTTCGTACTTATAATTATTCATTTTTAGTAACTACTACAATTTAAAGAGTAACTTTCAGGAATAAAATTGTGTTTAGATGACAAGAATTTGAAGCTTTACAATAATATCTGCGGAAAATATTTGGCCGCGAAACGTATAAGGTCGATAAAAAGCACACCGTCTAAGCAGTGACTCTTTCGAAAAATGATATTGCACTGCGTGGAAGGCAGCATTCTTCAATGAAAGCCAACTCACACTTAACGGGAAATCGCGTTCTCAATATTGCAGATTAACTTTCAAGTACAAATCAACTTGCATAATCCAGTTTCAAACCGTTTTGGCTCAAAACTATCCTATCGATCATTTCTTCCCACAATTTTTCTGACCGCGGTTAAATGCGGAGGATAGGAAATAATTGGTTAAAACTGCTATTTGGGTTCCTCCAGTGTCCTAGGTTCTCAAATCTGAAAAAAATTACTGAACCACTCGGAGTTAGTGAGTTGCCCAATCTGCAATTGTATCAAGGACGCGTACACTGCCAACCTTTCCAAGGCATCCCTGGAGTTGGCCTTAGCCTTATAAACCGCAGTGTAGGCGGCTATCAATGTTAGTTGAACAGAGACTAATATTTACCTTCAGCTGCGAAGCAGCAACGTTATTTCTCAACTTGATCTCCAGGTCCAAGAATTCGGCGGGAGTCCGCGGGGGAGCATCGTCCTCTGATTCAGTGGGAACCTCATTAGAGTCTGAATGAATGGTGAGGATTTCGACAGCCTTCGTGTAGGTCGTCAGCGCGAACAGGTATTCTTGTCGGCTGCATAGGCGGGCAGAAGAGAAAAATAATAATAAACAAGGTTGAGTAATGGAACCTTTGAAGATTCGTTGGTCAACTTCTGCATAAGAAAAACTGGCGAATAAAGAAAAGGTGGAACCTTCCTTATGTGGCGGAAGTGAGGTGCAATGAAGGTGGTCCCTGCTAAGCACCCAACCAGTAGCGGATTATGGTGGTTGACTTGTCACCAACCTGTCTTTCAGTAAATCTCGAAATCGCAATTTCTCGTATTTGTTAGAAATTAGTGGCTAGGCGCCCGAGGGCTTTCATCAGCATTTGCGTTAAAGGAGTTGCCGAGAAATCAAAAATGCACAGACTTGCTGATAAATTGTGGGATACGAATGTTTTCTGTGACACGACAGTGGGAGAATTAAAAATAAATCTTCACATTTCAGATAAGGAAAAGCATGGTTACACATACAGAAGGACTCACGAAAAGTAGTAATTTCCCTTTTCACGTTTCCTATCGGCTATTTGAAATCGGTGATCTCTCGACATTTTTTCGTAACATGGAGGATCTCCGCACTGTTCCAGCACAACACGATACGTGAGTTTGGCTTTTCCGGGGATTTCTGGCAGTCTTTTTAGAAAAGGCAGGAAAAAAACTGAAACTGGCGTTTACAAAGAAACTCTGGACTCTTGTCTGCAATAAAAGTCAAGATGTAGCCCCTAGTTGCATCGAAACAGTCAAAAGGTTTTTTTTTTAATTTTACAGAGATTTTAAGGTTTTGTTCATCTGAGTCAACTACTAACATATTCTGACGCACTGCGTGGCTGTAGCTTTAGGTGTGGCTTAGACGACTACAAATTTGGCACAAAGTGCATACCATGACCGATAGAATATGAAAGAACGTAGAGGTGATACGAGGTTACTGTAAGAAAACAACAACGCAATGGCATGCAGTTACATTAAGGTTATCCGTTAAAATTACTTCCAGTGCAAAATGATTGTTTAAGGATCCCTTGGGGTATGGAGTCAGTGAGTCTGTAGTAGTGTCTGAAGTCTATTTTTTGCATCCGCAGGTCTTTGAGACTGATGACTGGAACTGGGGCCGCAAAATCGTCTTTATTTTTAAACGCGCCCTTCGCGCGATAATACACAGTTTTCACAGAATACAGGTCGGCAAAGCTAATGTTACCGTCGTAAAGCTATTCTCTCACTCTGCCGCACGTCCGGCAGCTCTGATTGATAAATACGGTTTGAAAAATTGTCATTGGGCATTAAGAAACCCTAACACAACGACCTGCAATTTTGGCAAATCACAGTTCACGGCTTTCCAGAAATCCAATAAATACAACTAAAACCACCAATTTGTGGGAGGGTAACGGTCACCCTGAGGTTTCTACACCAGCGCACTTTACTTCACTTTATTATACGTTGGATTCGTCCAATATGCGAACATTTAGCGGCTAGTTGCTAGACAGCTAAAGTCTGGCATGCTAAACTCTCCGAGGTAAGCACGCTGTACGAATGACTGCCGTCCCTAAATAGTAACAGCAGCAAAGTCTTCTCGAAAAAGATGCATCAGCTTCAGTTAACCAGCTGTGAAGGTTAGCTGCGAAATAAGCAGGCTCCTGGGTCTGGCGAATAAGCAGT